TTGACTCAAAAACCTGGTACAGGAGCACTGGGGGCAAGGATCACCTAGGTCGCTCTATGTCAACCCACACCCGCCGGTTGCATCAGGCCATGGCGCAGGATGACCCTCGATGGCACGCCTTTCTGGAACAGGCGGCCTCCACCATTCATTGTACTCCCACGTGTCAACCAGAAAAAACTTGTGGAGACATTGGTTCAACAAAGTTTCATGGTTGTGCATCCGCAACGAACTACACTACCGCTGTGGGCTGAACCCAGGTCTACATCACTGGTTGCCAGGAAATGGAAGCATCTCCACTGGGCTCGACAGCGGCATTCCTGCCTGCGTCTAACCTCATTGCGGGCCTGGTGTCACTGGATGAGGTTTCGCAGATTGCGCAAACAATTGAGTCAGCATTGCAAACAGACCAAAACAGCTCGTATACGGCAGATCACCTCCACAGCTGCCAGGGCTGCTGCAGTTCATGACACTCGGGCACTCTACGAAGCTGTCCGGCAACTGACGCCGAAACAGGCACGCCGGGCTATTCGCTTTCAAGATTCTCATGGACTTCTTCAGGACCCCCAACAAGAGCTTACATGTTTACAGGTCCACTTCACGAAGATCTTTGATGTGCATTCGGATCCAGTCATGATTCCGCAGTGCATGCCTTGGATTCCATCAGAAGCTGACCTGTGTCGCCAACTCCGCCTGACGAAATCCTTGAAAGCTGTTGCTCCTGGCGCCCTGCCAGGTCTAGTGGCCAAGAAGCTAGCACCGGAGCTAGCCACCTGGTTACATGCCTATTTGACGACACAGTGGGGTCCTCACTCTGATGTACCTCAACTGTGGAAAGATGCCTTTCTCACATTATTGGCCAAGCGCACAGTGCAGAGCCCGGCTGACCTTAGGCCGATTGCCCTGACATGCTGCCTGGGCAAGGCGGTGCTTGGAGCCTACATCGAACAGGCCAAAACCTACATGAATTCATGTATGCAGCAATATCCAATATTCGCCTACTTACCGGATCGTGGTGTGGCTGAGGCTTTTATGTTCGTTCATGATTTCTGTGACCAAGTTCGTACTGCCTGTCAGGTCAACAGACCTGGCCCCTGGCGCATCACGCAGGCCACCTTCAGTGGAGGCTTGATGCTCTCCCTGGACCTCAAACAGGCCTACGGTCGATTACCACGCCATTTTCTTGCCAAAGGATTGCAGCATTGCGGTTGTCCTGATGAGATTAGCTTTGTCCTGCTCAGCTGGCTCACTGATGCCAGGTACCATGTTCGCCACCGTGGTCTGAAAGTGAGTGTTCACACCCAACGTGGTGTCCGGCAGGGCTGCAGAGCGTCTCCTATTGAGTGGACGGCTTTTTTGGTCTATTTGTTGAACAACATTGGACAGGGTCTTCAAACACCAGATTGCTCTGCATTTGAATGGATTTGCAACCATTTTATCACAAAGGCTGACGATCTGTTGAGCAAATGGTGGCTTTCCTCGACTGCTGATTTTCGCTGTGCACTCATGGAAATAGGACATATATTGGATTGCATTGAACAGCATGGCTTGGTCATTTCCTTTGAGAAAACAGTGGCATTACTCAAGATGGAAGGCCGTGGTGTCCGCTCTCTGATGAAACGACACACCTGCACGTTTGAAGGACATCGATGGCTCATCATTCCCAGGGCCAGTGGTACCAGTTATTTGAAAATTGTTGCTGTGCACACTTATTTAGGCGCCTGCATTTCCTTCAAGACTTTTGAGCAAGCCACTGTTCGACACCGACTCCATCTAGGTCGCCTAACGTATCAACGTATGCGCAAGTGGTTCACTGGCAAGCATGCTGTCACTAGCAGAGACCGTGCCAGCCGTGCCAAGCTGTGGCGCACGCGCATCCTGTCAAGCTACACCCATGGGTTGGGCAGCTGTGGCCTGAAGCAGGAGGGCTTTTATACCCTATGCCATCGGATCCATGCCGACGTCAGAATTCTGGCTAGATCTCCCAAACATGTGACTCATGAGCCCACATCAGACATTTTCACACGACTTGATCTTCCTCTGCCAGAAGTGTGTTTCCAGGACCGTTGGAGGGCTGATTTTCATCGGCTACATCGACTACAGGCAACTCTCCCTGGCACGGATTTCATGCACAGATTACCACTCCACAGGATTGAACACAAAGTCATGCATACTTTCGCTGCATTGCACTCTGCAGGCATGCAATTGGAGTCTCAGCCTGAGACAACCCCTTTGCAGGCCTGTCCGTACTGTGACTTCGTGGCTCCGACAGTTGCACTTGTTCACAGACACCTTGCCAAACGTCACAAAGCCCATCCTCTATATGTTCGTTTCGACATTCTTCGGGATGCCCTGCATGGCAAACCTCAATGTTCGCACTGCTTGACATGTCTAGCGCACTGGACTGGGCTGGTTCACCACATTGAGCATGCCAATTGTCCGTCCTTTGATGCTCATCGATCGTTGCAGGTACCACTTTGTGATCAACCTGCTCTTCGTGCCCTTATTGCCAACTCTGCCTGGAGCACGGTGATCTCTCAGGAGGACTATGGTGAGGCCCTCCGATCCACGTGTGTTCTATGTAGCAGACACTTCGGCATGGGCAAAGACCTGTTGATCCACCTGGCCAAGAGCCATCATAGCCAATGGCAAGACTCCAAGCTACTGGTTCCCAGCATTCATCCGGACTCCCCACAGCCTGGCCCTTGTTGGGCATGCCGCACACCCTATCAGGGCTCTCACAACTGTTCAGCGGTCCGCCAACTAGCTGTGTTGAAGTCAGTAGTTGATGCTGGGCACACTTCGAGGGAGATTCACCCTGCACATCCAGTACCGGAGCAGCTCAAGCGGCGCCGGAAAGGCATGAATGCCCGGGCTGTCTTTCAGCCTGGACGAGACTCTGCTGACGGAACGCCTACATGCGGCCATTGTCTCAAACCACTTGCATCCTTTTTCAGCCTCAGGTCGCACATTGAAGCTGTTGGATGCAAAGACTTCAATCCGGACAGGCCTTTGGGTGATCACATCCCCTACACTTGGCCCCGACTTCGTGCGCTTTCCTTGAATCACAGCGTTGATGCCATCATTGCCATTCCTGAATACAAAACTGCCTTGTGCACCTGCTGTGTTCTTTGTGGCAGGCAATCCCGCAAGCCGGGTGGAGTGGCTCAGCACCTGGCTCAAGATCATGCCGAGTTGATCACAGCAGCCAAGTTCCTGGATGACAGATACCAGAATGAAGGATTGGCTAGTGGACGTCCATGTCTGTGTGGCAACCATTCAACCAAGAGAGGTCATCGTTGTATGGTATACCTTCAGTTGGCTGTTCTTCACAGGGCTCTTGCAGTGGACACTGCCAAAACGGCCTGACCGATCCCAGGTTCAGCCCTTGACCATGACTCCCGCCACCTTCTGGACGTCACCTACTTGGCGCACGTGGCTCAGCACCCATTGTGGCTTCTGTGATTGCACATGTTCGCTGGAGAATCTATTGATGCATATTCATGACCAGCATGCTGATCTACTTCAAGATGCCATGCGGGTTCTCCCCACTTGCGTGTGTCCAGAAATTCACTGCTGCAATGTTTGCCTTCTGGCTGAAGAGATTGTTGATCAGTGCCCACTTGCTCTGAATCTCGCTCTTCGGCAACTCCGCCATGCCCAACTACGAGATCTCGCCGGAGGACATGATGATGCAGCTGGACGACACCTTTGG